GCTTGAGCAAGTGAATGGCGGAACAGGGTTTGGGAGAAATAACAAAAAGAAAAAAAACATATTAAGAACTCCAAGGGACAGGAAGATGTAGAGTGCCATGATCGCCTTCGTCCTGAATCGACACACTACATAAAAGAAGAAAGAAAAATCAACAGGCCTAACCTCGATTAACCTTCACACATATCTTCCATTCAGGAGAGAATGAAATTTCATCTTTATCCTTTCCAATATTTTCCAACCGAAATCCTATCACTTCTGTCTTCTCCGTCTTTTTACTCCCGATATCTCTTTTACTGACCTTTATTTTTTCCTGGCAAGAACTCTTGTCTCTCTCTCTCTCTCTTTCGACGTTTTATTAAGGCTGTGGGCGCGAGGTCAAAGCAAAGATTCATCGTCAATCTCAAGTCCCCACTGGCCGCGGCTACTCGGTGGACACTTGGAATTTCTAGAGAGAACGTTTGATAACTGATGAAAAAAAAAAAAAAAAAAGAGAGAAAGAAAGAAATGAAAAAGAGACGGGCGTTAGGAAACGGCGGGTTAGGGTTAAAGAAGATGGATGCTTTTTGATGAACGGAAGGAATGAAAGGAGGTCTGTGTATGAATGTGTCAGAACATATGGAGCGAATATGTATATCTATGTTTCTGTGTATGCATCTTTTCATATGTGTGTCAGGGAAAGACATTGAAAAATACAGGCGGGTAGGTGCAGGTATATTTAGGGGCGTGGGTCTCTGGGTGTGCTTGTAACACTAGAACTTGATAATTTATTGCTTGTGAAATATAAAAGTGATTCTTAAATTGTTAGGACACACTGATTAATTCAAAGTTGAAAAGATAGGGAGAGAATTAGAAATAAGAGGGAAAATAGAAGAAGAAGAAGAAGAAGAAGAAGAAGAAGAAGAAGAAATTGATCGAGTAAGGAAAAGGGTAAGAAAAGGAAAGTAGGAATGTGAGAAAGAGGACGGTAAAAGAATAAGAAAGAGTAGAGATAGTTGAGGAAGCGAAGAAAAATAAACATCATTTGAGGCGTTGAAAAAAAGAAAGAAAGAATGAATGAATGAAAGATAGACAGGCAAAGGAAAAAACGAAGATAAGATAGAAAACTAGATAAAAGAAAAGGTAAAAGAGTGACGAGGAAGTAAGAAAGAATTAATTTAATGAATGAAGAATAAATAGCAAATAAAAAACAATTTTCTTTCGCAAAAGAAAGAAAAAAGAAAGAGAAGAAGAAAGAAAAAGGGAAGGAAAAATAAACAAAGAAAGAAAGAGAGGAAGAAAGAAAGAAAGGAAGGCAGAAAAAAGAAAGAAAGACAGAAAGAAAAGAAGGAAGGAAGAAAGAAAGAATGTAGAAAGAAAGAAAAAAGGAAGACAGAAAAAGAAAGAAACATCGACTGAACAGAAAAGAAAAGTAGGAACAAGAATTAATGGGGAATATGAAGACAGGCGAGTAGGAAATTAGGACGAAAACAGATTTTTTTTTTTTTTTTTTACAAAATTTCCTCTTTTACTTCTCTTTTCTCTTTCATTGAGTACTATGACTCTCTTTCTCTCTCCCCTTCCTCTTTTACTGAGTTCTTTAACTCTCTTTATCTCTCTTTCTTCATTCACTGAGTTTTCTCTCTTTCTCTCTCTCTCTCTCGCCTTTCGCTTCCATTGAGTTCCGTCACTCTCTTTCTCTCCCTTTACTTTTTCACTGAGTTATATCAGTCACTGTCTCTCTCTCTCTTTTCTCTTTCACTGATTTCTGTCAATCTCTTTATCTCTATCTCTCTCTCTTTCATAGATTTCTCGCATTCTCTTTCTCTCTCTCTCTCTCTTAAGAGAAAGAAAGAGAATGATAGGAGCTCAGTGAAAGAGCACTGAGCTCTATCATTCTCTTTCTTTCTCGCTTTTTTTTCTCTTTCATTGAGATCTGTTTTTCTGGACACAGAGCATTGATAAGGAAACGCAATTCTCCTTGTTTATTCAAATGTGCGCCTTTGTGAATTCACGTTCTAATTATGCATGACATAGTCAGCCTTATCAAGTTAAAGATTCAACAGAAATGGTGTATAGCGCATTTTACTTCTATCATATACTTCGCGCCATGTCTTCTCGTTATAAGCACGCTCAGTTAAGCATTCTTGATAAGATAACAGGCATAACTTCTGGGCAAAAAGCATCTTAGTTTTTCCAGATATCTTTATAAAAAGGCCGTAATCGTCTGTATAGTTTTTTTTTTTTTTGAAAGAGCTTACAGTCTTTACCCTTTTATAGCGCAGAGGTCGGGGAGAAACGCCGGAGGTAAAATTGCTTTAGTACAGCACTTGCGTCTATTCTTGATGTATTTCTTCAAATTCCTTAGCACTTTCTTATGTTTCTAATGTTTCTTGAATGACTCACACCTGGATTTAAATGATATCAGAAAAGACATTCGTTAAGCGATATCATTCTAGTTTCTTGGTTAATGCATTGTCAGTTATTAAGTATTGGCTAAGATTCTTTTCAGTTTATTTCTGTTATTTTTAAGTGCAACACTCAGATCGTCACTCAATGATCGCTAGTAAGCAGTTCGGTTCGAAAACAAAAAAATAACTCAAAGGCAAACTTTCCGAAGCTAAGAGCCTGAATCTCGTCGAATGAATATTTGTTATTTTCGATCTGCACAGCTTACAATTGATCGTAGAGCGACGGCCTGAGGGTTGTGATAAAAAGGTAGAGATATAAAAGTAAGAAACTACAAATAATGCATAAACCATTTTAGTCAAGGTACGCCGATTTTTGAAATTATCAAAAATTGGCAAAACTTGAGTTTCAAATTCATACAAATCATTTTTTTAATCAATATTCTTTGTTGTAATGGCAAAAAAGTTTATAAAAAGATAAAAAAAATAAATCAATTTCTTGGCATTTAGTTGTAAAATATTATTTTTGGATATGAAAAAACGTTAATAGTAGAATCCATCACTTTATTTGACTATTGGTTTAATTTTAGAATTGCGGTGTCATCATGCCTCCCGATTAATGTGTTGTATAAAAAGAAAGCATCACAAGCATTAGGAATATATATATATATGAGTTAGGATCAAATATGGATCGGAATCCGAGAGAACGATAAAATAAAAAACAAAAACAAATAGCAAACGTTTATCAATCTAACATGTTTCACTTTTATTAAACTTGTGACTGCAGTGAAACGTGTTAACTTGATAAAATTTTCCTTTTTGTTCTTTTTCTTCTCTCTCTCTCTCTATCTCTCTCTCACGCACACACGCGAACACACATATATATTCACAGCCTCCCTATATAAAAAACTACTAGCATAAACTCATGCGCTCTTAATTACAAGAGTGAATGTCCTAACTACTCCAAAATAGCAATTATACAAAATTTACTCAATCGTGTTAAAGTTAAATCAACCACAAAAATATTTTCTACACCAAACTAAAAAAACATTAAACAAGCTCTTATTAATAATGGCTTTCTTAACTACATTGTTGATGAACAAATAAGGTGATCTATTATCAATTTTAATATAAATCAAATAGAACATGATACTTCTTCAAATAACCCTAAATACACCATTCTTCTATATTGTAATCAAATATATTCTAAATATAAACAAGATGAAAAAAAAAACTCATAAATGATAATATATCCCTCAAAATCCCAATAAAACAAATAAAATTAACTATATATTATACCAAATTGAATACAACCAAATTTGCCATCCGAAATAACTGTTCCCCACCAATGACTTCTTGCAGAAAATCAACACTATATATCAATTTAAATGTCTTTTGGGAGATAGCATCTCCGACAAAAAAAAAAGCTAATATATATTTTGGTCATTCTACAATAACGCTATCAAGACGGCTGGCTCTACACATGAATAATTCATCATCAATTGCACAAAACCTGCAAAAACATTCCTGTCCACATTCACAATTTAAAAATATATTATTCAACAATATCAGTATACTTCACCAAGAACGTAATAAGCAGAAACTACAAATTCTCGATGCCATCGTTATTAAAAATTAAAACCAATACTTATCAAAATTAATTATGAATATGGTAAAATACTCAGAAATGTTATTGTATATAGTTCTTTAGAAATATCTACATCAAAACTAAACAGTTTTGTGAAAACAAGCAAATTATAACCTACCACAAGGATTCACTTCTTAACTGAGTTATTTCCCTTACATTATAACCTTACAATAAGGAAACAATTTTAAAAAAATCACCATTTGTGACTTTGCGCATATCGAGATCGTTAACCGTTTAATTACAAATACAAAAACTTACTTCTGACACACAACTGATTGTCATAACCATCGTAATCCTGAAGATGATAATGTGAATATATTGAAAGTACTCGGAAAAATAAAATGAATAAAGACAAACATAGTACCATCCGAGTTCTCTTTTAATTACTGCTTATACGTGATTAAAAAAGGATCTTATTAAAAATAAACGAATACAACATATCTAAATTGTTTTATCAGACATGCTTATATATATATATATATATATATATATATATATATATATATATATATATAGATAGATAGATAGATAGATAGATAGATAGAAAAAGACGACGAATATAAAACAATTCAAACAAATCAAAACACCAATCAAAATTCTTTCAAGAAAAAACAAAATATATATATATATATATATATATATATATATGAAGGGAGGAACGATAGAAAGAAGAAACAATTTCTCGATATGATTAATCTAATTTTTTACAGAATCCTGTTTTCAACGAATTTTATTTTGATTTTCTGTGAAAACTCATTCTAAAAATTCCCTTTTTTATATCAAAAATACATTGTAGGCAATATAATCACTTTTGACAATTTTTTTATCTAATGCTTTCTTGCAAATTACATAATCTTTTTATTTATTCATTTATTTTAGTTCATCTCTGATTTCTTTTCAATTTCTCATGCATATTTTTTTGTTTTCCAGGACAACTAAATGCTGATTTGCGTAAGATCGCTGTGAACATGGTACCATTCCCGCGTCTCCACTTCTTCATGCCGGGATTTGCACCTTTGACTTCTAGAGGAAGTCAACAATACAGGGCACTCACTGTCCCGGAACTAACGCAGCAGATTTTCGATGCTAAAAACATGATGGCTGCTTGTGATCCGAGGCATGGTCGTTATTTGACAGTTAGCGCTATATTCCGTGGCCGAATGTCGATGAAAGGTAAGTGGATATACATTGGAAGCTTTGCTTTTACGATTTTAATTGATAAAATAGGCCATTCAGCATGGAAATGTGTACGGGAATAAAGGATACTTCAATGAGTTTGATTTCATTCCGTTCAGGGTCTTTCTTTTTTCTCCCTTCTATTCAAAAGTTTTAATTTACTTATATAACTACTTATTGAGTGAAATGGTAGCGAGTTTAATCCCCGTAATCGGAGTTCGTGTTACAACATATCTTAAAAGAAATAGAATATAAAGAAACAAAAACCCGAAATTTGAATGCTGGTTTCAGTATATTCTTATTCTAATATATATATATATATATATATATATATATATGTGTGTGTGTGTGTGTGTGTGTGTGTGTGTGTGTGCTAGGTATACCAAGGCAAATGTAGCGGGATAAAAGAGCAAGAGGGAAAGGAGATGACACGTAAAATAAGTAACTATGATGTCGTCCCTCCACACACACACACACACGCAAATACACACACACATAGATATTACTTCAAACGTTATCTTTTAGTGGATACTCGTATTTGAAATAGACTCTCCGTTTTTATTTAGTAAACAGTGGGTATTAAGTCTATCGGCCTATGTATTCGAAAAAATATGGCGTCTATTTAAAATACCAATATCCACTAAAAAGCCTTTTGAAGTAATAAAATGGCGGATTAAAAAAATCCTTAATTAATTCCTTCTTTCTCTCTCTCTCTTTCTCTTTCTCTCTCTCTCTCTCTCTATATATATATATATATATATATATATATATATGTGTGTGTGTGTGTGTGTGTGTGTAAGGTATATTCAGACAAATAGGTTTTGTTAAACTGATAATATCTGTCTATTTAATTTTTTTTTTCATTTTTTCAATTTTCCAATAACATGCATATCAGGATCGAATTTATGGATAAACTATATGAAGTTCATGTTGGTTTTATTCAAGTTCTCACCGGGTGTTGTCAGTGATAGTGGTAGAAAAGCTTCAGTTAATTACATTTTGCCATTTTTATCGAGCTGAAATTTTGAACCATTCCAACGTGACGTTATGTGCAACCGCACTAGAGAAGGGCGAGTTTCTGCATGGCATGGAAGGACTCTACATGGGCAGGGCTGTTGGGGTTGACGGCCTTCCTGCTGAAAATATTCTGTTACGGTGGAACACATTTACGTCAACTTATGCATGATCTTATTGTAAAGATTTGGATAGATGGAAAAGTGCACAAAGATTGGGGGGATGCAACAATGATACCTATATATAAGGGTAAAGGTACCCAGGAAATATGTGGTAATTATAGAGGGATTGCTCTCCTTTCTTCGGCAGGTATGATCTTTGCCTTTGCTCTCCTATTAAGATTAAACCAGAAAATAGTTGACAATATACTGCCTGAATCACAATATGGTTTCCACTAACACAGAGGGACCGCAGATATGATTTTCACAGCACAACAAATCAAGGAAAAGAGCTGGGAACAACAAATGGACCATTATCAAATATTTGTAGATCTGAGGAAGGCTTTGACACTGTTAATTGTGCTGCTCTTTGGAAAATTCTCTTAAAATTCGGCTGTCTCCCCCACCGACTTTCTCAAGATTCTGAGGTCCTTCCATGACAGTATGGAAGTCTGCGTCACTTTTGTTAGTATGCTTACGGGGCCCATCAAGGTTGAGTCAAGCAGGGAGATCTTCTGGCTCCTACACTGTTTTCTATCTACTTTGCAATTGTACTGCTTGATGCGTTCGGGGACTGACATGATAGTATTATGATAAGGTAAAGGTCAGCTGGCAAGCTTTTCAACATACATAGGTTTGCAGCAAAGACAAAAGTCTTTTTTTTAGTTTAGTGCGTAACCTTCTCTATGCTGATGACTATGACCTGGTCGCACACACAATTCAGCACGCACAGGAGCTCATGAATCGACTATCAGAGTCATGTAAGGCTTTTGGTCTGTTCATCAGCTTTGACAAGACAGTGGTGATGTTTCAACCTGACCGAGGAATTCAGTATATAGAGACATCAATTTATGTTGATGATAGTCGACTTGTGTTAGTAGACAAATTTGTATAGCTTGGTAGCACCCTCAATTGCCACTGCTCCCTTGATGATGACATAACGTTACGGATTAAGAAGGACTCTGGTGCATTTACAGCTCTCAAGTTCCGTGTCTGGAGTCAGAAGGGCATAAAAAGCAGACAAAACTTAAAATATATAATGCCAGCGTTGTGTCTTCTCTGCTTATATTCATATGAGACATGGGTAGTCTATCGCAGACATCTGAAGATAGTGGGACGTTTTTCATCAACGATGCCTTCAGTCTGTGCTTGAAATCCTCTGGGGGTCTCACACGCCTGATACTGTTGTTCTACAAATGGCCAATTCATTCTCTGTGGATGCAATTATACACAAATACAGATTGTGATGGACAGGCCATGTTATTCGTATAGTAGACGACAGAATGCCAAAACAATTAATATATGGAGAATTGGAAATGGGAAAAAGACCGCAGCAGAAGTCAAAACTTCGTTACAAAGATTGCCATAAAGAGTCACTATACAAGTGCAATATTGGTTTGGATAACTGGGAGACTCTAGCTGGAGATCGTGTTTCTTGGAGAGCTGGTATTGCTGATGGCGTTAAGATATTCCTTGAGGTATCACAAAAATATACAGAACTGAAAAGTTTGGAAGGGATCCCTGAATTGTCATTAAGTGCCAACCTAACCATGTGTCTAATGCAATCGGATATGTCTGATACCAGAAATCACACCAACACCAACAGTAGATTGCATATGACGATTTCGTAATGGCATACTTTGAATGCCCGACCTGCACTAGAGTGTGCAAGTCCAAGTCAGGTCTGACAAGGCATATAAAAATACACATTGGAAGTGAGGTTGTTCAAAGTCAATTTCCACCACCAAGAGATGATTTGACATGCCATATATGTAACAAGAAATGCAGATCGATGCCTGGCTTTATGAGCCACCGCCATTCACACAAAAATAATGCAGTGATATATATATATATATATATATATATATATATATATATCACATCCTATGGACTTTTCTAGTTGTAGGGGGGATCCGAATGCAGAAGCCATACTAAATCTCCCTCACAACGGTCTATCACCGTCAGCCACCAGCAATTCTGGTAGTTATAACTATCCATTATTTGACATTATCCAACCAGTTTTTACGTTGGCATCCTCTACTACGTCCACGTTAAATGGTGCTTTGTATGATGGTTTTGCAAAGGCTGTCGTGCCTTGTAATGTATCCAAACCACGCCATTGTTCTTGACTGTGGTGAGAAGAAGTTACTGGTGGCCCACAAAAATGTCAACCCTTTCCCGTACAAACTCATTGGTTTTATGTTTCAAATAGAAGATGCCAAGGAGTTTTCTCATGCATTTCTTCTCAAACACTTGGATTCTTCTCTCTGTTTATACCAACATTGTCCACATTTCACATCCATATAGGATAATGAAGACGCCCAGCGATTAGTAAAGTATGTACTTTTTTTGAAAGGTTATTTTGCTCCTCCATACTCTTGCCAATTTATCCATCGCCGTCATGGCTGCTGCAATCCGTTTACAGATTTCCGAGCTGCGGATACCATCTTTAGACAAGATCTATCTATCTATCTATCTATCTATCTATCTATCTATCTATCTATCTATCTATATAATATATATGTGTATATATATATATATATATATATATATATGTTAATGTATATTTGGGAAGCAACCTTTCTTTGAAATATCTTTTGTTAAATATGACAGGGAAGGAAAATTTAATTTCCAACGTTTTTATATTTTTCCGTTTGTTGAGTGTCAGGAAGTGCAAAATGATCCATATTGTCCATTGTCCCAAGCGCTTTCGACCACATTTTTAGTTATTTTCAAGAAGGGGGGGGGGTCGGTGTTTTAGTTGTTGTTAATTTCTCTTCATGTTTTAACTGTTGTATTTTATTTTGTGTTGTTTTGAATACTAGTAGGAGCGTTTATTCTGAAAATGGAATTCAAGTGACCGTCTATTTTTTGAAAAAGATCTTTCAACGTTCCATTTCCATTGTTAAATAAGGTGAAGTTCATAGCGGATGTTTAATATACAGGGCCTCTCTTATAGTAAGATGTTTCCTGTAATGTGATTTATATATGCAATTGCTACCCATATGTACTATATATATATATATATATATATATATATATATATATATATATATAAGTGAACATTGAAGTCAACACTCAGAGGCGATAGGCTGTTTTATGCTAGACGCAATCGTCAGGCCGCCCTATTGCGTCTAGCATGAAACAGCCTGTCGCCTCTGTTGACTTCAATGTTCACTTTTATATTCATATTTACATAAGCTCTAACTCTGATATTGAGCACTTTATCCCGTAAGTATAGCACAACTTAAAACTATATTTCTTCATATATATATATATATATATATATATATATATATATATGTGTGTGTGTGTGTGTGTGTGTGTGTGTGTGTGTTGGGCAGTAATTTTTTACTTACACATTGTATTAACCACCACCTCGAAGATTCTTTGTTACGTATTAATTAATTTCTCTCCTTTCTGGTATTTGACATCACGAAACAAAGGCTCCCTAATTATTGTCTAAATATAAAGCACAATCAATGCTGGATAATCTCCGCACAGATGAAGAAGAAACATGAGGAACAGAAATAAGGTTGTACAGAAGGATGTTGGGAACAACACGGACTGAACATGTAAGCAATGACGAAGTTTCTTTCTGATATTAAATACAACTGTCTTTTTTCTTTCCATTTTCTTAGAGAAAATGGAAACAAAAAAGACAGTTGTACTTAACATCAGAAAGAGAGACTTGACATTTTAGGGGTATATAATGAGGAAAGAAGGCGTGCAAAAATTGACACTCACAGGCCATACTGAATGCAAGCGGGACAAAGAAAAGCCGTGCATAACGAGATTCTAACGAGATTCTGTGGATGACAGAAT